CCTAATGTTGAGGTGGAATCTCTTTTCTTGCAGCTTGCATCCATTGTTTCGGGTCCTAGTCTCTGGAGCAGCAGAAAACAAGTTTGTTCCCTCCTTGATATGACATCCCTTCAAATATTTAAACACGGCTATCATATCACCTCTCAGCCTTCTCTTCTCCAGGCTAAACATCCCCAGCTCCCTAAGTCGTTCCTCATAGGGCTTGGTTGACTTCTGTCAAGAACTTTAAAAAGATACCATATATACTCATGTATAATTTGAAAAAATTGTATCAAAAATTGATGCAAAAAACCTGGGTTGACTTATACATGGGTCAACATAGTAATAGACTCATCCCCCAAGCCTCTTCCCAGCTCAGTTACCTCCCGAGAGAACAGCTGGGCTGGGAAGATAAAGGAAGGTTGAGCATTCACCCCCTGAGCCTCTTCCCAACCTGGCAGTCTCCCAAGAGGGCAGCTGGGCTGGGAAGCTAGAGGAAGGGTGGGCATCACCTCCTGAGCTTCTATCCAGGCCAGTTGTCTCCTGAGGGGCAGCTGGGCTGGGAAGGAGGGGGAAGAATGAGCATTCACCCCTCTGAACCTCTGCCCAGCCTGGCTGCCTCCTTTACACCCTGTTACATGGCCTTAAATTCTACCCTCAACTTATCCATGGGCCACATAAAATACATAATTTTCCCCCCAAACCTACCCTTGACTTATACATGAGGCCGACTTATTGTTGAGTATATATGGTAGATATATAAATAGAAAGAGGGATAGAGACAAAGAGAGAGAGAATGGTAGTTGTAGATTTCCTAACTGCATTAAAAGCAAGGGTACATGGAGCTTCAGAAAATGTACTTGAACTTTATACACCTTGAACTTAAATGTCAGTAGGTTCTGAAGGATTTGTTTCAGATAACCTCATACCTTTCTGTTCTGGCTCACTATGATACTGACATCTTATTATTATTATTTTGAAAATGTCTGCATATTTATGCAATTATATCTTTTATTGTTACCAGAGGCAGGGTATGGTTTGAATCGGGGAGGGTTGTCTCATGCTAAAATGAGGCCTGCACCCCACTTTACTGAAGAGCCTGTGAATATTTGCGAATATATGCTGTACATTTTCCTTAATTTTAAGTAATAAATGTTCTTGAAAACCTGGCCTAGGGCCCATTCACACTATAAAATTATAGTGTTGTTATGCCACCTTAACTGTCATGGTTCGACCATATGGAATCCAGGGACTTGTAGTTTGGTGAGAGCCCTGGCTGAGAATAATAAATGCCCTGCCCTAAAATGCAAATTTCAGGATCCCATAGGTTGGTACCATGACAGTTGAAGTAGAATAATAGCACCACAATTATGTTGAGTAAATAGGCCAGTAGAGTGTTCCTATGTAGTCTGAGGGATAAATGAAACATTTCAAACTACACTTCAGTTGAAAAGTTAACTTATTCGTAATTCACATTTTGTTTTTACTTTTCTGTTAGCTATGAAAACAAAACTTATTTTAAAAGATATTCCAAGTTTCCACTGAATATCCCAAGGAATTCTTATGGCTTTCTGAAGGAAAGCTTCACATTCATCTTTGTTTATAACAGCAGTCCTGTTGAGGCAAAGATAAGACTGCAGGAAGTACCTCTCAAATGTCAAGAGGTTTCAGCATGTATCCTTTTGCATTTGTGTCCAACATTTGAAGTAATAACATTCTTATTGTCAGCCTTAGGCTGATACTAAAGTCAAGCCATTCTTTGCTATTCATTATCACACTGAGTGCTCTTAAGGGAGTTTGGTTTCCCTCCACTTGTTGGGTAGATCAATTGAGATAATCTTGGATTAATCCCACTGCTCTCTGGGTTTGTTTATTGATTCTTTTGTTGTGAAATTTATACAAGTTTTAAGAAGGAAATTATTCTATACTCTTACAATTTTTTTTCCTGAAACCATACATAACTAAAATAAGACTGAATCTTGAATCTTGGGTGTCATACAGTAGACAAAGAGATTTCTTTATCAACATACCAATAACTATCTTTTCCTCTCTAAAATCTATCATGATATAGTAGTGGTGGAATATAGCATACGCAGTCCTTTTTAAAAGGAGTTTAGGACATGTACATAGTGATTATATATATGCTTCTTATTTGAACATTAAACATAATTTTGTATAATTTAACAGGGTGTTGTAAAGCAGAAACATATGGAAATGGGATCTTAGGAATTTGGGAGTGAATCCAAATGCCCTTTTCCCATTTCATCATCATCACTTAGACAATATTCATTGCTGGTACTACAACTATTACTTAGGGCCTTTACAGACTGCCAGAAATAATGCAACTTGAGTCCACTTTAACTGCCCTGGCCCAATGCTAGGGAATCATGGGAATTGTAGTTTTTTCTGAGACATTGAGCCTTCTCTGTCAGAGAGCTCTGGTGCCACAATAAACTATGGTTCCCATGATTCCCTAGCATTGAGCAAGGGCAGTTAAAATGGTCTCAAGTTGCATTATTTCTGGCAGTCTGTAAAGGCCCTTACTTACTTTTAAAAAGTCATGGGCTAAATCCTACTGATAATCTCAGCAAGTGATAAGACAATATTTGCATAAATCCCATTGGTCTACATTGATAGCTGGACTTGCAAAAAGTAATCAAGCCCATGGGTAGTTTTCAAAAAAGTAGCCATGTTAGTATCTTGCAGCATAAAAGGAAGAATGGGAGGGGGGAACGAATGTGGCAGCATCTTCAAGATGAATTTGGTTTTTATTTTAGCATGAGCTTTCCTGGATATAAATCCACTTCTTCAATGCAGTGCAGAGTGACATTAAAGCTTCAGATTTCCAGCATATTTATACATTTGTGGAAATGGATAGAATGTAATAAGATACAGGAAGTTTATATGCATGAAAGCTCATGCTAAAATAAAAACCAGTTAGTCTTAAAAATGTTGCCACATTCCTTCCCTTCTTCTTTTTTAGCCCATGGTAAAGTCACTTTTGTGTCTGTATTTGAGCAAAATGTTATATTATCTCATGTTTACAAATGTAAGGGCTCTGGGCTCCACATACTAAATGCATTTCTGAGGAAACTACACACTTCATTATTTTTACATATATTCAGAAATACTTCTGACTATTCCCACCCTTTCTGTGCTAATGTGAATGAGAAAGCTGAAGAGAACAATTGTTTAATTATTATTTTTTATCCAGCTGAAATGTTGGTTTGCAAGATGATGGAATCGTCCTAATTGAGTCTCACTATAGGTTTTGTGATTCACTAATATAAAACCCCACAGCATTTGCAAAAATGCACTGTGTGACTTGACTCTAGAAATGTGCTCTTCCTGTATATCATGCCTAAGAAAGATTTTTTTATTTTATCTGCCTTATTTCATTAGTATGTTCAAAGGCCTGAGGTAATTTACTGTTATTGCATGGCTAACCTTGGAAGTTATATTAAATGTAATTAGGTTTACAGGTAGGACAAAAATAGGTAGTCTGTTGGATATGCAACCTCAACTGGTGGCTGTTTTTAGAAGTCACAGCAAAAGAGCTTCATTTGTACTACCCTCCTTGAGAGACTGGGACCTACTGTGATATTGCAGGGTCCCAAGGACAGCCCTTGGCTCAGCCTCTTGGAGAAACAAAGTGTCTTGAATCTGCTTTAGTTGAATATTCTGGATCATTAAACAATGGATTAGCAAAAGGGAAACAAAATAGCTGAATGCAAGTACTTTTGCTAATTACAGGCATCCCTTCATTTTCTCAGACTTGGAATCCACGCTCACCCATTTGCAGGCAGGAAGGGATACAATGGACAAAATGGGGTGTGTGCAGGTGTGCACTGCCATTCAAGCCAATGAGGCTTGAATATTGGTGATTTTCTATTTTTGCAGAGGGGTCCGGAATGGATTCCCCATGAAAACGGAGAGGCGACTGTACTTCATAATTTTCCTTTAGATTTCACCCATTCCCCTGCTACTCCTATCTTTGCAACAATAATCGACCAACCCATAATATTTGAAGTGAAAAATAATAGTACTTGCTAAAGTGGAAGGCAGTAGGAAACAAGGAAGAGCACATTACAGAGGGATGGATTCAATGGCCTTGAGTTTAAAAGACCTGACTAGGGCTGTTGATGTCTGGTGCTCATAGAGATCTCTCATTCATAGGGTCATCATCGGTGGAAGCTGTCTTGATGGCAGACAACAAAAAATGTTCATTCTTCCCCCAACAGCAGTGATTCCATTGGTTGGTTGATTTTCTCCTCTTCCCATGTCCTTGTAGTTTTGAATCTGCCAGAGACAACTTATTTCCCATCACTTACCAGCAGGAGGGCCTCATGTTTCCTTGTTTTAGAGACTGCATAGCATTTGTTCTTCCCTGTTTAAAACCCAAGAGGCTGTCTTCTTTCCCTCCTCATTACCTATCTTCATTCCCCCCTCCCCAACTTTGCACAAGAGAGCTGCAAAATCAGCAGTGATCTTAATGAAATGTTTTCTCTGCAGAAACAACAGACTCTTTCTGGGGGCAAAATGAAGGCAGCCAAGGCTATCACAAAAGACAAAAGCAAATATTTATCAAGGAACAAAGGATGTCTGGCTGCTTACATCTTGTTTGATTACCTTCCCTCCCTGCCCTTTGAGAAGATATTTATCAGGGCTGGATTGAAATTCTGATTGGCCATATTATCTACCAATATGTATATTTTATGTGAAGGATACAGCTTTCCTTGCTATTAATGAAATAGAAATGATCTTCTTGTTAATACAAGCTCATAGTCTGTATGTGGTGAAAGTTCATGAATGAGTAATTCTTGAGACATGTGAAATTTTTGTAAAGGTTTGAAATGGCTGTAGAGCTGATTCTGCAGCATTCATAAAACAACTGTATCTTTAATTATATTATATTCATTCCTGAGAAAAGGACTGAGCTTAACTGGTTGATGGCAAAGGACCACTTTGAAACCTACATATATTTTGATTTTTATGGTAAACATTCTCTGTACTGATTGAGAGCTAGTGTAGTATAGTGGTTTTAGTGGTAGACTAGGACTCTGAGAGACCATGGTTTGAATCCCTGCTCGATCATGGAAACCCACTGGATGACCTTGGCCTATCACACTTTCCCAATCTCAGAAGAAGCCAAAGGCAACTCTCCTCTGAACAAATATTGCCAAGAATACCCGATGATAGCTTCACCATAGAGTCACCATAAGTTGAAAATGACTAGAAGACACACAACAGCAAAAACATGAAGTATTGACTAACAAAATACAAGGTTTTAAAAATCATGTTACATTGTTTACTATTTTGTGGTTTCCCCCAGAGGGTACGGATGGGTGTGTTAGGATTTAAACCAGACACACACCGAGATACACACACATTCCATACTATCCTATCTTTTAAGCAATAGTACATCTTTATCATTTCAGATATCTGATTTTTTAAAAAAGTAAGTTTACAGGTATTATGAAACATTATCAAATAATCTAACAGTATAGAATCACAGAATCATAGTTGGAAGAGACTCCCAAGGGTCATCCAGTGCAACCACATTCTGACATGCAGGACTACACAATCAAAGCACCCCTGACAGATGGCCATCCAGCCCCTTGTTTACAAACCTCCAGAGAAGAAGGCTCACTCTAAGGCAGCATATTACACTGTCAAACAGCTGTTACTGTTAGAAAGTTCTTCCAAATGTTGAGAATCTCCTTTCTTGTAGGTTGAACCCATTACTCTGTGTCTCTGGAGCAGCAAAAAACAAGCTTGCTCCATCCTCATTATAACAATCCTACAAATACTAAAATATGGCTATCATGTCACTGTCTAACCTTCTCTTCTCTAGGTAAACATACCCAGATCCCTAGGCATCCCCTTATAGGACATGGTTTCCAGACCTTTTCACCATTTTAGTAGGTAAAAGGATGAAATATGGAGGGGACATGCCTGGTTTCAACTGAGCTTTCCTAAGCAGTCTAGATAAGCCATCATCAGCACTGGTGAATAGGCATGAACTTCCTCATATCTAATAAAAGAATAGTAATACTTATTTCCCTTCTCTTACTGAATTGTTTCTAGGCTCATAACACAGGTATATTGAACACTTCACCCTGACATGTGCTATAAAAATAACAAATAGTAATAAAATATGCACATTTTCTTCATGGTCAAAGGCAGCCTTGCCAAAGCATTTAATTAATGAGCTATACTAATCATATTATTAAATTAAAAAGCACTTAACATAGTATCATTTATTCTTGTAACTATGTATAGGTTATTGCTATTGAACATCAAAATGCTTTCTATGATTAAGAAGTTTCATTAGGTTGAATATTTATTCCTGTCTGTTTTTGTGCATAATCATATATATAGTCACATGAAAAGTTTAAAGAAAGTTAAAGTACAACAGTCTCTCTTTTTTTTAGTGCAATGCCATTTAAACTCCATAAGAGTATAATGTATAGAATTCAGATTGTGCATTTTTTAAGGCTAGTATTGAATCTAATCTTTCTAATTGAGTACTATCACATTGAGTTGAGGGCCAGCATTGTTTACTGGTTTGAGTGTTGGACTTTGACTCTGTAATCCAGGGTTCAAAATCCCTCTCTTTCAGCCTCAGAGGTAGTCAAAGGCAAACTGTTGAACAAATCTTGCCAAGAAAACCATGATAGGTTCACTTTAGTGTTGTCATAAGTCAGAAGTGACTTGAAACACATAATAACAAAACCTTCCTTTTAGCCCCTATATATTCAAATTGGGGGGAAAGGAACATATGCTACACTGGAATATTGGATGAGTTAACCCATATTTTTGAATTTATGTTATGATATGTATCTTTTTACTCTATAGCCAATTTGATTTTTCCCCTTGTTATTTTTGCCTTTTCAGATGGCTTTTTGCAGTTAACACAAAAGTGGACATTCTGCTTGTTAGCCCCAACTAGAGTGCAGACATTCAATTAATTGTTGAATGGTAAGACAACATGTAGGTAAATCACATTGATTCAGTGTGTCAACTCTAGTCAGAACTAACAATGGAGTTTAGCCAAAGTGTGTCTATGGCATGTTTCAATCAAACTGTTAACACAGGTTTAGAAATTCTCTGTTTTATTCACTTCTAATGAGAATAACTTTTTCCCTATATTCTGAATATCTTTAGCTCTCATTCATCATGAATGAAAGAAGTGAACCTTTTCTCAGAGGTCAAAATGGAAAAAAAAAAGGTTGCAGTCTTGAACATTAGAAAAAAAAATTACCATATTTTTTTTTGCAAAGTCCATATGTGGTAATACCTTTTGGTGTCTTAATTTTAACACAATATGGAATTACTTGTTACTTTTGGTCCTATGTATCCACATATTTTACATCCAGGGAGTCAACCATCCATGGCTTGAAAATATTCAGACAAACAAACAAAAATTCCGAAAAGCAAACCTTGGTTTTGCCATTGTATATAAGGGACATCACTCTAGGTAAAATGTAAAGGTTTCCCCTTTGACAAGGTTGTCAAGTTATGTCCAAATATAGGGAAAGATACACATCTATGTTACTAAGCTGAGGGAGCCAGCATTGTCAAAGACAACTCCATGATAGTGGGGCCAGTATGACTGCAAAGAATGCTGTTATCTTCTCACCAAAGTTATCTACTTGCACTTTTATATGCTTTTGAACTGCTTGATTGGCAGAAGCTGGGATTAGTGATGGGAGCTCACTCTGTCATGCAGTGCTTGGCTCTCAAACTGCCAACCTGACAACCTTGTGATCATCAGAGTCAGCATCTTAACCATTTTACTACCACATTGCATATAATGGGACTTGACCAATCCTGGATTTTGGTATCCACAAAGGATCCTGAAATCAAACTTCAGCAGAAAACAAGGGTCCACTATATTAGAACCTCAGTATCTTTGGGGGGAAGCAGATTGGCGGCACGGGGCCGCCCTGGGAAGGTGCGCCGCAGGATTGAGGCATCCCCACACCTCGATCCTGTGGCGCTCCTTCCCCATCCCTGAAAGGAATGCTAAAATAGTGCTCCTTTCACAAGTCAGGAAAAATGCGCCTCAAAAGCGTGAGGCGCACTTTTGCTGACTTATCCACCACAGCATGTCCGGACGCTGTGGCGGGAGGTTGCCCCCAGAGCGCCGGCCATGCAGAGGGCCGGCGGCTCCGGGGGCAACCTCGGGAGGAGGAAGGGGCGCCGAGTGTGCGGCTGCCCCTCCTCTTCCCTGCCTCCAGGACAGCTTAATAAGCCGTCTGCCAAGGCCCTTTGTTTCTTTCATTCTGCCATCTTTCTCAAGGAAGGAAAAATAATACTAAAAAAGTCACTACAATATTCTCATGTATTTCACTTATTCATAATTATTATCTTTTTAAAATTATTTAAGCTTTTGCATGCTTTGCAAGCAATATTTTAACAAGTTTTTTTTTTAAAAAAAAATAATCTTAGGTCCTCAGCCTAAATTGAATTTTCTTTCATAGGAAACTCTGTAATAAATGTAGAATTTGAAGATATAGCCATGGTAGTCTGTAGAATCAGTATGTAGAGAGATCTTGTAGCACTTTTGAGACTAACTGAAAGAAATAAATTGGCAGCATGAGCTTTCATAGACTACAAAAGCATCTGAGGAAGTAGACTGAAGTCTATGAAAGCTTATGCTGCCAACTTCTTTCTTTCAGTTAGGGGGGTTGCAGACTGCTAGAAATAGTGCAAATTGAGTCCACTTTTAGGGTTAGGGTTAGTGCTAGGGAATCATGGGAATTGTTTTTTTTCTGCGACATTGAGCCTTCTCTGTCAGAGAGCTCTGGTGTCACAATAAACTACAGTTCCCATGATTCCCTAACTCTAACCCTAACCCTAACCCTAACCCTAACCCTAAAAGTGGACTCAATTTGCACTAATTCTGGCAGTCTGCAACCCCCATTAGTCTCAAAGGTGCTACAAGATTGCTCTGTAATAAATGGTGTTTCTTCTGACTGCACTTAAGAACTTACATTTAAACTCTAATAATTTTCAACACTGATGGGCCTTCAGATGGTTGTTGCTTGACGATTACAGTTAAATGTAGCTAAAATGTCTTATCTGAAAGCTGAAATAATTCAAAAAGATAATGATAATGAGTAAGTGAAATGCAAAAGAGCAAAAATGAAGCATATTATAAGTGTGAGTTGTTAAACTAGTAAGGGTTAAGGAGAAGCAACAAATAAACTATGCAGTATTTATATGTAAGGGCTTTCTTGATCTCTTGCTTTCTAATGAGTGTGTTCTGCATATAAAATACATGGTAGTAATAAGTGATGGGCTGGAGATAACAAATATTTGATGATATTGTAGTGACTATCTTGGTATCATGTTTCAATGCACATTTATTATATCTCTCAACATATTTTTAAATAAAATTTTAATTGACAGTTTTTTGTGGGTTTTTTGGGCTGTGTGGCCATATTCTAGAAGAGTTTCTTTCTTATGTTTCGCCAGCATCTTCACCAGAGAATCTTTCTCTGAAGACGCCAGCCACAGATGCTGATGAAACATCAGAAATAAACTCGTCTAGAACATGGCCACACAGCCCGAAAAACCCACAAAAAACTATGGATGCCGGCCATGAAAGCCTACAAATTTTTAATTATTCATTTTAATTAGTGCTTGCATTTGACAGGCTTTCCCATGGTATTGTATGAATAAACATTATAAACCAGCTTTCCCCAACCTAGTGATTCTTCATATTTCTGCAACTGCGCTTTTAGAGTGTAAGGGATCTGGAGGGCTCAATGTTAGGAAAGTCCACTGTAGACTAATATTTTAGCAATTCTTTTTACCTTTCCCAGAAAACATGTTCCAAATATTTGATTCAAAATTAATGTGAGAAATGACATTACCCCACACAGATTCAGAGACTTGGAATGTTTTCTTTTTGGATGACAAGTCCCAATGTTCCAGACAGCATGACCACTACTGCCTAAGGAATTATGGGAAATGTAGCCCAAAAAGTGAAGTTTTCCAAAACAATACCAAAAACAATACAAAAGTATTTGTCTTTGCATGTGTTGAAATAACTCTTTATTTGGTATGATGAGGAGTTCAAACAA